GGAGGAGGAGGAGGAGGGGGAGGAGGAGGAGGAGCAGCAGGAGGAAGAGGAGGAGCAGGAGGAGCAGGAGGAGGAGGAGGAGGAAAAGGAAGAGGAGGAACAGGAGGAGGAGGAGCAGGAGGAGGGGGAGGAGGAGGAGGAGGAGGAGGAGAAGGAGGAGGAGGAGGAGGAGGCGGCGCGGCGGCGAAACGGTGTCGGGCCGAAGGTCGATCATATTAGACTTAAACCAATCATCGGAGAACTAATCAGACAACTGCGACCTACCGTGCGCGTCAAAGGACGTCGAAGAGGATGGTCCCACAGCGGGAGCCCCAAGTGAAACTCGCTCTACCACAGCTTCAGAGCACGGACCCGCAGGCCAGCTCGGCAGGCTCTTGGATGGGATGACAAAAGACCGATCGTCGAGGGCATTTCCGACGGAGCAGAGCGTGCACCGCCGAGCGATCCGACGCGCCCTGAAGGTTTGACGTCAGTAGACGCACTGGCTTGTGACTGTGATAGCGTGGGCCAAAAAGCGAAACGAGTGACCACCCTCGGTGGAGAAGCGCTTATGGGCCAACAAGGCCCGTCGTGTCTGAAACTCTCGACCGCGCGCGCAAACCGTCGAGGCTTGCAACTCGCATCTCCAGGTAGTCGGGGCTGGTGGGGGAGGCGCCGCTTCGGGCCCGAGTTCAGGACCTCCAGACATGTGGAGCCCATGGGGGGGAGGAATTGCCGCTGCTTTCGCCGCAGCCCGACATGTACCTGGATCGAGACGAAGGAACCTGTCGCGAGCTTGTGGATCCTCGGAAAGAGCACGAATGTTGAGGCTGAGCGGGACAGGGGTGGCGGAGTCGAAGGCGGGCAGATCCTCTAAGAAGTCCTTCTCCTCACTCCTCCTCCGCGGCCTGATGCAATCGACAGCAACGCGCCACGCAGCAGAAAGAGCAAGTACGACTGGGCATAATGGTGGGCGTGGCATCCACAGGTAACTGTCCCAAGGCAGCTCCTATCTCCTAAGCGTGGCGGCGCGGGTGTCGCAGCCAGCGCTGGCATGTGCGAAGGCGTCTGACTTTCAATTCTGCGCCACAGGGGGCGATGCCTACTCTGCGCAGCGCAGCTTCGTCCGTGCAAGCTCGATGCTTGATCGTTTTTTTTTGTCCGTCGCCGTCTTAAACAGGATTGCCGTCGTCGTTGAGGATTCCAATCTTCTCGCAGGCGTCCCATCCGAGTTTTCTGCGAGCGAAGCCCACCAACACTTTGTCCAGCTTCTCTTCTTATTTAAGAGTAAGGACCTGGTGAGATCGCCTCTTGTACTACAGCTCGGAAAACCATCCGAGTAAGGCGCCGTGCCCTATTCTGAAACCAGCAGCGCCCTGCGTAGTAGCTACCTCGACGACGAGCGAGAACTGGGCGACGTAGCTCTTCCTGAACCCCTCCGGTGACGGACGCGGCGGTGCCCAGGGAACGCTGTCGAAATGGACCTTGCCTGATGCTGGAGGCGAACCGCTGAAGATCGACGCCGAGAAGCCCCTCAACCCCTTGCCGACGAAGCCGGGTGAGACCCTACTTTTGTCAGCGTTGTGCTCGTAGCCTCCGTCGGCCAGAGACTATCGTAATTAATCGCTGATGAGCAATGTCTATCGTGCATGTATATTCGCCGCCGACCCCGCCGCGTGCGTCTCAGTCGTCGGCGTATATGCGGCGCGAGAGCGACGCGGGGCGCCTGGGGGGCGGCGTCCAGGCTGTGCATATACCTTCAGAAAGCCAAGCGTACTCGGCCACATTGTCGGGGGGAACCCTTGGAGCCAAAGGGGCGCGCGTCCATTCCGTGCATGTAGACGCCCGAGGTGGAGGAGGTAAGTTGCCCCGCGCATGTGCTCTCAATGCGACGAACCACTTCTGGATTGGCCTGCTGAATGTTCGACCGAAAAAGACTGCCGCTGGGCTGTCGCCCATGGGCGCGCCGCGTGAACTCGGTGGAGTCTGCTCCCCGCCTGTTGTCTGAATCGTAAACGTGCAGCATTCATTGCGCTGGTGAATTTCTGGGCAGCAGGCTCTATAGACCAGTTGGCAGTGTCGCGCAGGGCCTCGAAGGTGGGGCGCCCGAAAGCATCCGACATTTCCTCCATCGAGGCCACGCAGGAAATACCTAGGTCCCGAAGCCTCCAGAGAATGAGCCCCCTGGCACACCAGTGCGCCTTCGCGATCTCGCCCAGGCAGACGTCCATGTTCCTTGTCGGGGATGATGTCCGAAACGCCCTGGCCAGTTGGGCCTTATACCAGGCCGCCCCCATCCTGCAAAACCCGTGGATGTAGCGGAGCCCCGAAACCCTGCTTCCCGTTCATCTTGTTGAGCCCCGTGGCCCTCGAATGGTGCTAGACCACTGGGGTCCTGCCAGCTCGTCGGATGTGGTTGAACACTTGCTGGGGGGCCCGAATGGGAGCTTTGTTCGTGAACTCTTCAACGCTAGCTCCTAAACCTCTACGGTCACCCTGCAGACCAATGCCGGGGGGCGCGAGACTCAGCTCCAGACCTGGGGAGCTGTCGAAGGTCGGGGCCGCCTTCGCCACCGTCTGGATCATCATGCTGCCGCCGACGTCGGGCCCAATCGGCGCCGTCAAAACGTCTGGCAGGGTCGACCGCGAGCTGCAGAATCTCCGAAGGGGCGCTTTGCAGAGGCGGGGCCTTCCGTCTCCGAACACGGGCCAACATTTTACATACTTGCTGCAGATCATCACGACCTCCCTCCACGCATGCAAAGTTGTCTGCGCCGGAAGCAGGGGGGGAGGCAGATCAGCAATGCTCTCAGCCAAAAACTGCTGGATGTCTATGGGCACTGCTTAAAGCCCACCTTGTGGGCCGTCGTGTGCAAAATAGTCACGCACTTCGTCGGCGCGAGGCAGAAACTCGTCAGCCGTGTTGTAGCGCCTCTTGCGAGGCCCATCGACAGTGCCCAGACAACAAGTGTGCCACGCGCCAGACTTCAGCGTGCCTCTCGCCTGTCAAGCCTGCTCAATCTCCAGTGCCAGCTGCTCAGTCACTCCTGCCTGTCGCTTCCGTCGCAACGCGCGGAGCCTTCGGCAGCACCTTGACAGCGCAAGCGAGGACTCGAGTGTATCGTCACCGAGCTCACGCTGATGTCGACGCTCTGCAAGTAGGCGAGACCTCTCCTCGGCGTACCGCTTCGCCTTCGGATCGGTAGTGGCATGCTTGCCGAAATTGTTCGCTGCAGCCGAATTCACGCCGAATTCACTGTCGTGACCCACTCCTGCCAGGCCCCGTCAGGAGCCTTCGCATGCATCAGCGTATCAACAAAGTCAGGCATCGCCTCGAATCGAGATTCCAACTCTTGCATGAAGGCCAGGACTCCCTCTCCTCGACGTGCACCTTCCGTTCGAGACCCCGATCGGTCGAAGTCGTAGCGCACTTTCAGCAAGATCGGGATATGGTCCTGGGACCCCCTCCTGCGAGCAAGTTCGAGTCGCTGGTTGGCCCTCTTCAAACCGCAGCACATCATCACATCGGGAGCTTGCCACTCGAAAACTGCCACATAATCGATAGGGTTGGAGCTGACATGTCCGTACTGCGTGTCGCCGACTGGATAGCCCATAGACACGGGGCGCAGAACGTGCCAGAACTTCCTGAACACGATCTCCCGCGAATCTTTGCTCGCCTCTGCCAAAATATCCGGAGGCCCGAGAAGCGATCTGCACCATCGCACCGCCATATTGCCGTCGAAGTCCGAACGAATCATTCAGGTCGAACCCCCCAGAAAACTGACGATCTGGCGCGAGTCCAGCTGAACGTCTTCTCAAGCCACGAACATCTACAGCACACTGTGTCACGATAGCGGCGAAAAGGTGCATCATCCATACATTCGCGTCCGTCGCGCCGCTGCGACGGCCGAGGGGGACAATAAGTAATCGGTAGTAGAAGGTCAAATCGCCCCGGCCTGACTCGGTGGAACGCAACTCTACCCTGCTGATGCCGTGGGACAGGACGAAAAACCACAATATGCTTCAATCGAAACCTTCTCTTCCGAAGGAATAGGGTGATGCCGCATGACCTGTTGACATGTCGACCTGCTGCACTTCCATGCCTGAGTGCAATCTGATGCCAAACGTGAGAAACTGTACAATCTTGATCTCCAGCACACCCACCAGTGGAAGTTAAAACAATGATATTCGTTTTCCCGAATTCGTCCGAAATGTCCTGAAGCCGCAGCTCGTCAGCAGCTGCAATGCAATTCCAATGAAGAAGAGATGCGATCGACGGCGGGCGCGCGCCGAACCGGCTGTGGGGCCATCCACCCCAAAGCGAGGTGCAGTATTAGGACGTGGGGTCGCTCGTGCCCCAGCTTCTGGAAAGCCTGAGCAGTGGGGGCTCGAGGAGGAGGAAGAGGAGGAGGAGGAGGAGGAGGAGGAGGAGGAGGAGGAGGAGGAGGAGGAGGAGGAGGAGAAGGAGAGAGGGTGGGAGAGAGGGGAGGGTGGGAAGGAGGGAGGAGGAGGTTGAGGAGGAATCTTCTAATCATTTCGGATTCCTCCTCGTCATTCTGATTCACGGTCGTAATCGGTCTCCTCTCTTACTCCTACATGGCCTCGCCGGCGTAGGCTCTGTGCCCTTGTGGGCCCGCTGCCCTTTTCTCTGCCCTTGCGCCTGTTTTGCTTTCTGCTACGCCTGCCAGGCGTAAGCTGTTGGCCTCCTGGCCCAAGTGGGCATTCGCTCTTCTTCCACAGGGACGCTGCGCTGCATCCCACGACGCCCCAGTTCGCCCAAGGCTTATGTTGTTCCCATCTTACTTAAGGACCGCATCCCAGAAATAATTTCGAGCACCCAGAAGTGTCAAAAGAGTATCGAAAAAGTGTCGAAACAGTGCTGGGCGAGTGTCTCCCAGGGCCTGACACGTGAAAGCCCTCGAGTTTCGGTACTTTTTCTGGCGCTCGAAATTCTTCCTGGTGATCAGGGCTAAAGTAGGTTGGAGCATCATAGCCCAAGGCAAGAAGCGCCCCCCCCGAGCCTCTGACCGTCGGCCGGGGCCTTGGGCGCTGGGCGGTGCGCGCGCTGGTCCTCGCTCGTCCACCAAGGGGGCAGCTTGCCGCCCCAGATGCCCGTGGCGGCCCTGAGCCGCAGGGCCGGGTCGCCCAGGATCACGTCCAGCAGCTTGGTCAGCTCCTCCTGTCGGGGGGGCGAGAGGGTAGGATAGCAGAGAGCAGGGTAGAGAATAAGCTCACGCATCTGCTCTTCCTGGCGCCAAGAGGCGCCCATGCATCGAGTACTGGGCCGGGCGGCGGGGCGGAAACCAGCTGCATGCAGCAAGTATCGTAGCCCCTCCTTTCCGCATCCTATCCTTTCGTCTGGCCTGATCCTTCGGTGCACACACGATGACGGACGACGACGATGACGACGACGACGACGACGACGACGACGACGGCAACGACGACGACGCCGACGCCGACGACGACGTCGACGTCATAACATAAACATGAACTTCCAGAGGTCCGCGCGGTTTTCTCGGATCGGCGCTGGAACACCCCCCTGGCGCACCCCGCGCGCCAGGGAAAGGGGGTCCAGCGCCGATCTAAGACAGGAGCGCGGACCTCGGACACTTATGTTATGTAATCGACTTCGGCACTGGATCCCTTCGCTGGGCAGCACAGTCTGCCCGGGACCAGCTTGGCGGCGCGCAGATATTCCACATAATCATGTGAGCGTTTTCTTATTCGGCGTTTCGGCATAGGGCGGAAGGGGGGGGAGGGGGGGTCTGGCTCTGGACCTCTGCTCACTGCGACTGTTTGCTTCGGTGCGTCCCATGGTGGAGACCCCGCCTGCCCGACACGGGCGCCCCCAAAACAGCCACGATCTACTCCAGGGGTGGGTGGGTGGAGGGGAGGGGGGGGGGGTACGAGGGCCCGCGCCGATCGGCAAACGAATGAATCAGAAAACGGAGAACGAGGAGGAAGAGGAGGAGGAGGAGGGGGGGGAGGCCGAGGAGAACGAGGAGGAAGAGGAGGAGAGGAGGAGGGGGGGGAGGAGGGGGGAGGAGGAGGAGGAGGAGGAGGAGGAGGAGGAGGAGGAGGAGGAGGAGGAGGAGGAGGAGGAGGAGGAGGATTTTTTCCAGTGCGCCGCTGCCAGCCAACCTCCAGAGTGCAAAAGATGCAGGGGTTGCCTGGCAGGGAAAAAGGAATTACGCCATCCAGCTCGAGGAGGTCTTAGACGGCGGGAAGCCCTTGCAAACCCGCTGCAAAACCTCGAGCTGGTGTTTTGTTATGGCGTGCGGTCCCAGCGCGGCTACGGGACAAGGCTCCTGCAAGGAGTCAGGGCGAGCTACTGCCCACGAGCCGCATTCACCGCAAAATGTGAAGGCATCCTTATGCCACAAAACGTGTGACGGGTGGACCGCCTTGCCCGAGACCCAAGGCGCAACACGCTGGGGGGGCGGGTCTAGCCTCAGGCGACGCCATAGGGCATCATCCCTGGCAGCCAGGGCCCGACCTGGCCTCGCCCGCTTCTTTGCAGTGACCTCCTCCGCCACCACCGACTTCGAACCCCCAACTCCACCTCCTCCACAAGCAGAGCAAGCCGAGCGGAGCCTCGCACGGAGCGAGGGGGCAGCATTGGAGATCGAATCCTTGCACATCCCACAAGTCCAAACGCCAGAACCGAACTCCCAAACGTGCGACGAACCCCTCACATCAGCTTCGATCCACCGACGCCTGCGGAGCACAAGATCAATGGGCTGCTTGCGCAGCCTGCGCTCAGGCTCGGCCTTGAGGGCAACACGCTCGAGAATGATAGAGGCGTTGCGCTTGAGGATGGCACAAGCATTGCCGACTAGCCCATTATAAGCCTGGCCAACTCCATTCGGAACCTGGCATTCCCGAGCACGCAATTCAGCAAGCTCATCAGCGACAGAGTTGAGCACTACCTGGTCCCAGTCTACAGAGTCGCCAAAACGGGCGAGCTGTTGGGGATCCTCCAACAGGTGGCTGGGAACATGAAAAAGCTGGAAGTCCCCAGGTCGCTCCGAGAGGAGCTGCCAGAATTCCCACCAGATATCTAAATTTGCCAGCCTCGCAGAAGCAGCACGGCCAGCCAGGAAACCTTTGACAATATTGGCATGGTCGGTGACCACGCGCAGAGCTTGGGCAGGGTCAACGTAACGAAGGCACCCAACAATGGCCGCAAGCTCTGCGCGGGGAACCGTCTGTCGAACCGAGTCGAGTACACCTGCGACTCCACAATCCCACTCAAAATCTTCGCTAAGACGGAGCCGCACAAAGGCAAAGGCAACTCGTCGGAGGACAGGAAACTTGGCAAACTGCCCTCCCGTGCCATCAGTGGCATAGAGGCCTCCTGGCAGACAGCCTGGAAACAAGGCCCCAGAACAACGCCGCCCCTGGAGGTCCCTGGAATCAGGCACAGGAGGGAGGTTGAACCAGGAAAGGGGAATACGTCCACGCATCCAGAAACACGGATACTGGAGAGCCTCCTGCTGGGCACCGTGCCTAAGGTGCTGAGAGTCAACAATCTCCTGGACCTGCGACGAAGCATTACACATGCACTCCCAAAACCTGTGGCAGGAGGTCTCGGGGTCACGCTGGCAACGCCTACACATGGGATCAGGAGCCATCTGGGCCTTGTGCCTTCTCTCCTCGGTCCAATAGCCTCCAGAGACCAAGAGCCGAATCATAGCCGCGAGGTCCCGACGCCCATCCTTCTCGAGGGAGGCAACAAGGTCCCAGACATGGTGAAGAGAGACAGGCCCCTGGATTCCAGCGCCATCTAGGTGCTCGGAAGCCTGGCGCCACTGTAGGGTGTCGATGGAATCGTCAAAGGCCTCGAGAAGTGGGCCTAGCGGGCCGTGCCCGTCCTCCATCATCTGCCACTCGTCACCACAAGGCGCGATGAGAGTGAAAGGTGGGGGGCACTGCCATCCTACCGCCAACATCGTGGCTTTGAAAAGCCGCCATCGGGCCACGGACCCAGGACCACCCTTTTCGGACCTTGGCCAAAGAGGCCGCCCAGAGACAGGCCAGGCGACGGAGGAGCCCAGGGCGGCCCGCAAGGCGAGCAAACCACGACTTGACGACACGCCGAACGTAAACCTGGAGGGGGTCCTGGCCATAGCCAAAGGTGAGACGGATAGTGGTTGTGGCACACACACACACCTCTCTGAGGGGTCTTGCTAGCAACACGAGCCATGCTGCGGAGGCCTTTGAGCATGGAGGGAGAGACACCGTGAATCTCGGGCGTCCACATGGCCTTCGCATAGGCACTAGGAAAGAACAATTTACTGGCTTGCCTGCACGTGCGCCCAAAACTGAAAATCATACTAGCGGCATCCCGCCCCTTGGTGAAACGGGTCTTCCTGACAGCCACAGTCCTTCTGGCGCCCAAAGCGGTGTCGTGCCCCAGATCCCTGGCGGCCAGAGCCACCGAGAACTCACAGCCCTCACTGACAGCAATCCTGGAAAGCTCAGCCCGAAGGCCTGGCGAGGACGCGAGCAAATGGGACTTTCCCAGGGACAACTCACAGCGACGCCTCCTGAGGCCAGTGAGGAGGGCTCGAAGCAGGATGGGGAACGTAGCAACGATGGACGAATGCGTGCCAAAAAGCCGAGCTGAGATATCATCAACCCACTCCCGCAGCCTAAGGCCACCGACCGATCCATTGGCTCCTGCGAGGGGTTGGTGCAAATGAGCCCGCGCTAGGGAGGTGGCCTGGCCACACCCAGCCAACATGCCCCCATGAGCCAGGATCCCAGGATGGACAGCCCCCTCCAACGACAAATGCCGAACACCCAAGTAGACATCGATGGCCAGGGCCAACAGACGGAGTGGGTAATCTAATTCTCGAGCCGCTTCCACCAAGTCCTTAAGACAGACTTGGTCGTAATACTTCTTCATATCCAGCAAAAGGAGGAGGAGGAGGAGGAGGAGGAGGAGGAGGAGGAGGAGCAGGAGGAGGAGGAGGAGGAGGAGGAGGAGGAGCAGGAGGAGGAGGAGGAGGGGGAGGATAATGAGGAGGAGGAGCAGTCTTTTGCCTGGTCCTTGCTCGCGTGTATGGCTGGGCTGGCGGGCCCCGCCCTCGGCCGATGGGCACCGCGCCCAAGCCCAAGCCCCGAGGCCAGAGGCTGGGAGGGGCCTCCCGGGAAGCGCCCGCGCCCTTCTCGGCGCCTCCGGGGTATGCGCGGACCAGTTCTTCCTGGCGGCGCGCAGAGGGGGGGTGGGGGGAGGGGGGGCGGCTTCTTCGAAGGAGGCCGCTTCTTAGAGGGCGCGGGCCTGACACATCTGGACGAGGCCCGCGCCCCCTGAGAAGCAGGGGGGGGTGCTTCTGAGAAGCCTTCCCCCCTTACTACCCCGCCCCCCTCTGCGCGTGGCCGATCCTTGCTTCTCGGCCTCGGTGCGCCGGTCCTTGCCCAGGCCAGCCCCGAGCCCAGGAGCGGTGCTCACACGCCCTCCATGCCCGACCCCAAGGGGGGGCGTGCGCGCCGGGATCCCGGATCCAGGGGGGGCGGGATGGTGAGGGCGTGGTGCCCCTGCACAGCTCCCGCTGCCTGGCTCGACGGGCTCGGCTTGACCCGTCAGCGCTGACCCGATAGCAGCAGAGGCAAAGAGAGAGGCGGGTCGAGGAGTGGGAGGTCGGAGAGCGAAAACGTTCATTCCCAGGTATTCCCGAGGCTTCCTGTGAGCGCTGACAGGGCTATAGGGAGAAGGGATGGCGAAGTGCACCGAGATGAAGGCGCTATAGGTAAACATGCGGGTTGTCGGACCCCGAGGGTGGGCTCCCGTTCGAGCGGGGGCCCCCATCCGACCACACACACCCATAGCCTCTACGGATCTCCACCCCGAGGAATAAGTGTGGGCTCAAATTGGCAACTCATGATGCAACACCGTGTGGATGGGCATCACCGAGAAACCCGTTTCGAATGGCTACGGAGAAAATGAATCCGATACCCAATAACAAATGTTGCCCAACACCGAGCCGCTGTTGGGCAGGCGGCCTCCTGTCTCGAATGGACAACGACCGCGGCGACGCCCACAGCGAACCTCGTTCCGAAGGAACAGCAGCTACTGTTGGACTTTGTCCCCATTATTTCTGTACTCATTTCGGTCGTCCCAAGTTTTGGTTTCATGGTCTCTGGGTCAAGATGTCTGGATTCGACCAGTGTGAAGGGGCCCACAAACACACATAAATACACACAAATAACAGGATTCCCCCTATTTTCCAATATTTTCTGGGTTTTTGTCTTCCCCCCCACTTCCCATGTTTTCGTATATTTTCTGGGGAATCGACGATTCATTGTGTCTGTGTGTTTTCTCCCCTGCTGACAGTGCCCGCCCGCCCCGCTCCGCTCCCTCGTGGGCACGCGGGGGCGCCTTCGACACGGGGGTGGGGCCCGCGCGCCAGGTGACGACGTGCGCGCACGGGCTTTCGCGCCCGCCGGGTTTGCCCGTGGGCGGCGCCATCAGGAAGCACCCTCGCCCCTACAGCCAGGTCGTTGACCTAATCAGCGAGCGAAGAACGGTATAAGATAAACTGTTTCGCCGTCGGGGACACCTGCCCCTGGGCGGCTGGAAAGTTTATACCCCTACGGTGACACCGTAAGGGTATAAACTTTCCAGCCGCCCTGGGGCAGGTGTCCCCGACGGCGAAAAAGTTTACTTTATACCGTTCTTCGCCCGTTAACCTAAGGAACCCTAAATAAGGAACGAGGCCCCTTTTCTCCATACCCATCGAAAACCTAAGGACAACCCGAGGCGAGCTGCGAAACAATCAAGGAACACGGAGCCCCTCCCCAACGAAAAGGGTTCCTTGTTCAGCGCCCCGACTGTATCCCCTCTCGTCGTCGTCGTCGTCCCTCCTGTTCTTCCCTGCGTATTTGCTCCCACCGAGAGCACACGTGCCAGCCTTCGGCAGAGTGCGGTGGCTCCTGGAACTTCTGGCGGCTCCTGTGGAAGACCGGGTCCGCACTGACAACGAACATGCGCACGGACTTTGCCGACATGAACAACTTCGGGTGAGCCAGAACTCGCACCTGACCGTAATTCGCGTTCACGTCCCCGTTAACCCAGTCCGAGAGCGGATGCCGGTCTGGATCCAAGAGCCCATACGGTTGAGAGGCGTATGCGAGCTGATCCACTAACTTCCGCTTGATGAATATTTGGAGCAAGTGCCCGGCGTTTCGGCTTTCGCAAGGCTTGCCGCCGAACTGCGAGACGTCGAGGCCGTGCTGTTCGGACAGGGCAATTATGCTGCTCGCCAACTTCTTGACCTTGCTCTTCGGCACGTAGCACGAGATCAGCAAGCCCTCGAGGACAGAGAGGAAGTTCAGATCCTTCTCGCTGTAGCCTGAGACGAAAACGACGGGAGTAGAGGCCTCGGGACCAAGGGCAACCAGCGAGCACATGGCGGAGATCGCCACCTTGCGGAATGCGGGGTGGTGGTCCTCCGAGGGGTTGGAGACAACCCCGACCTCCGACACAGGCTTCTCCCCCAAAGCCACCCCCTCTCCCATCCCAAAAGTGTATGCGGTAAACCCGCGTGTTCTCATTGCCCGTGCGGGCTGGGGAATGCTTCCACATAACCGTCCTTGGAACTAGAAGCGAACTCCCGGTTGAAGCGATCCAGCAATGCCTTCGCGTTCGGCATCGTGGCGAACTCACCCGCCAGGAGCCTGGGCAGCGAGGCGAACTCCGACCTGAAGCGGAAGAGGACGGCGGCGACAGCAGCGTGGACCTCGTAGACCAGGGCCGCGAAGGAGTAGGAGTGGTAGAAGGCGGCCCACTCGTCGCAAAGCGCCTCTAAAAACAACAACAAACCGAATAAACATACACTTGCGGAGGTCAGCGCGGATTCCTTGGATCTGCGCTGGACCCCCTTCCCTGGCGCGCGGAGCGCGCCAGAAGCAGCGATGGAGGCGCCGCCAGGGGGGCCCAGAGGCGATCCAAGAAGTGCGCGCGCACCTCAGGAAGCTAATGTTCATGCCGCTGTTTTTGTTCCTCGAGCCTCCTCGTTGGCGGCCAGCTTCGCGAAGCACTCGCGCGCGTGCGGGTTGTGCTCCAGCACGCCGAGCTGGTACTGGGGCGCTGCGCCGCGCTTGCTCTGCGGCCCGTACCGTCTCTGCAGGGCAGCTGCCGCGTCGCTGGACTCCTCGCCCCCCGGCGGCGACGGCGACGGCGATGGCGACGGCGACGGCCACGGCGACGGCGACGGCGACGGCGACGGCGGCGGCGGCGGCGGCGGCGGCGGCGGCGACGACGACGACGACGCCGAAGAGCAGCGGGGCAGGCCCTGGCCGAGCCGCGGAAGCCGAGCCGCGGCCCGATCTCTCCGGGCCTCGCTGCTGCTTCCACGGCCCTGGCCCGAGGCTGCTGGCGGCCCCGGGGCGCCCCACCGGCGGGCATCGGGCGGGCCGGCGACCTCGATCCCGGCGTTCTGCCTGCGTGCCTTGCCCCGCCTCCGCGGGCCCGGCGGCCCGACCCTGGGCCCATCGGGCGGGGGGCAGGGGCGAGCAGAAAGGCCGTCGGGACAGGGGCGGCGACCCTGGGGGAAGAAGGGCTGGAGGGGGGGAGGCCCAGACATGCGATGTCCTGTTTTTTCCAGTGTGGGGCCCCCAGACGTCCCAGCTCCCCACAGGGCCCGTTCTTCCTCCCGAGTCGTCTCCTGACAGCCCCAGGGCCTGGCGAGGGCCCACAGAGGCCGCAAACTGCCAACAACCCTCTGTCGTGGTTTTGCCACGGAGCGCCAATGTCTGGGGATGGTTCCCGATCCTCCTCCCCGCTACTTCGGCGGGAGGAGGCGGGCGAGGAGGGGAAGACTGAAGGGAGAGGGAGGAGGGAGGCGGAAGGAGGGAGGACGGAGGAGGGAAGACGAGAAGGAGGATGAGGATGAGGATGAAGATGATGATGCTGCTGCTGCTGCTGCTGATGCTGATGATGAGGATGATGATGATGATGATGAGGAGGAGCGGTGCGAAGCGAAGCGAAGCGGAGCGGGGAGGAGGAGGAGGAGGAGGAGGAGGAGGAGGAGGAGGAGGAGGAGGAGGAGGAGGAGGAGGAGGAGGAGGAGGAAGGCAGGAGGAGGAGGAGGAGGAGGAGGAGGAGTTTGAGTAGGCGTAGGAGTAGGGTCAGGAGGTGGATGATGATGATGATGATGATGATGATGATGATGATGATGATGATGATGATGATGATGATGATGATGATGATGATGATGATGATGATAATGAGGAGGAGGAGGAGGAGGAGGACCAGTGTAAACCCAAGAGTCATCCACGATGTTGGAATCCACCCCCTCTAAGCCTTCTTCATAGGCCCCTACAACAGTTCATTTCCATTCAGGGAGCTGCCTCGTTGGAAGACAACTGTTTGAAGACCTTGAAACATGCCAGAACATTGTTCTTGCCATTCCAATGCTACGGGTCAACCTGACTGGTGCGCCTTGACGACCCTCAATCGTGCCAGAACGCCATTCCTGGGACTTCAACACAATGAGCCCACGTAACTGCTGCACCAACCTAATCATGAATCGCTTCAGCATACGATTTCTGGTACGTTGATGATGGAATCCAGTGAACCTCTCGTACTTTTTACAACGAGTGTGCGCAACGCTAGGGCGAGAACCAACTTTAAAAAATGAGACCGCCTCAATCTGTGAAGCTCTTGTAAACAATTAAAAAACTGTGCGCCGCGCTCCGTGAAGTTCTCGCATTTGTTTGCAATACTGGGCGCGGCGCTAAAACGATAACCACAATTTGAACACCTCCCACCCTCAACCCGTGAAGCTCTTGCACATGTTTACATCGAATGTGCGCCGCGCTAATGCGAGAATCACATGTTGAAAGGCATGTGGAACTGCTGTCAACTTTTGAGTTGCCGAATCATAAAGGATGAGGAAGTCTCAGACGAAACGCTCGGCACGCCCAACAAAAACTAGCCTCGGGTGCGACAAGGAGAAGGTAGGTATAAGGAATACGTAAAAGGAATGGAGGAAGGAGGAGGAGGAGGAGGATGCGGCGGAGGGGGAGGAGGAGGAGGAGGAGGAGGAGGAGGAGGAGGAGGAGGAGGAGCGAGGGAGGAGGGAGGAGGCGGAGGAGGAGGGATGAGGGAGGAGAGGGGAGGGAGGATGGAGGGGGAGTAGGGAGGAGCGAGGAGGGAGGGGGAGGAGCGAGGGGAGGAGGGAGGGGGAGGAGGAGGAGGGGGAGGAGGAGGATGAGGAGGAGGAGGAGGAGCAGGAGGAGCAGGAGGCGGCGGAGGAGGAGGATGAGGAAGAGGAGCAGGAGGAGGAGGGGGGGCGGAGGAGGAGGAGGAGGAGGATGAGGAGGAGGAGGAGGGAGAGGGAGGAGGAGGAGGAGGGAGGAGGGAGGAGGGAGAGGAGGAGGAAGATGATGATGATGAGGAGGAGGAGGAGGAAGGAGCCTCCCCACGCACATCGGCGTCTGGGATGAGTCACGACGCCACATGAACTGGCACGTAAGACATCGAACCGGAGAAATCAAACACATCAACAAGGAGGAGGAGGAGGACCAGGAGGAGGAGGAGGAGGAGGAGGAGGAGGAGGAGGAGGAGGATGATGACGGTGCCCTCCGCGTGTCCCCTTGCTGATGTATGGGGATGCATCGATCGCTTCCTGCGGCCTGGTACCGCCCCTGCTCCCTCGGGAGTCTCGCCCGTCGGTGCTGCTTGCTGATGGACCGAACTGGGCCTGGGCCCGGGGCCATTGCCAAATTAGTCGGGCCATGTTCGCGGGTCAAAAAACGCGTGTGGCGGCATGTTGGGTTCACGCTTCAACAGAGATGGTGATGAAGGAGGAAACCATGGAAGTGGCAACTCGCGCCACATTATACTTCGCGCAGCTGGAAGAGGCGCCAGCCTCAAGCCTGCTCAGTTTACTCCCATTCGAGTCGCACTTCCAACTTGCACTTTATGTTGCAGTTGTTTCTTATCACTCCACCTTCGGCTTTAGCCAATAATGCAATTTCTACAGGCCAGCATCTTTCTGGCCAGTATTCAGTCCAGCAGACCTACCTTTGGGGGGATACAGAACTCCCAATTTGCCACAATGATCGGGGACACCCTCCCAGGAACTGAAGCGGTGAAAAGGCCTCCCGCCGAGGAGCCGAACAGAAAACGGGTAACAACCCAAGAATTGCGTTTGTTCCGCCTGGGTCGGTCAGCACAGCCAGTGCCAGCCCCTACCCCCCCTCCCTTTTACGCGTTCCTTCACCTTCTCGATCCTCCTTGCCATTCGCCGAGGAGCGTGTGTGGCTGCAGTCGGGTTTACCGATGGAGGTCGGCGGGGCGGTTTGGGAAGGGGGGGGAGGATGACCTTCATGCTGGCAATCCGTACTGTTGGACTCGGCCTCTCATCCACGGCCAGCCAGTACTCTAAAAACGACGGGATACGGGGGTTGGAATATTTAGTGGTATGGGGCTACCAATAAGGTGCCCGGGCTTGCTGTGCTCTACCACCTGGCGGGTGCCTACTCGTTGTATTGCGCCTCGCCATCAGCTTTTCAGCCATCCTTTTCCGCGGCGCCCGCCAAGTGATTCTGCTGTACCACTTCGCCAAGTCGGTTTACACATGTGTTTTTTATCACTATAACGCGACAAGCTTGCGCTTAACGTCTGGGCAACGCAAAGGAGGAGGAGGAGGAGGAGGAGGAGGAGGAGGAGGAGGAGGAGAAGGAGGAGGAGGAGGAGGAGGAGGAGGAGGCGAGGAGGCGGAGGAGGAAGAGGGAGGGAGGAGGGAGGGAGGGAGGAGGGAGGAACGAGGAGCGAAAAGGAGGAGGACCAGTGTAAATTCATCTCCACTGAGGGAACTGTCTCGTCGGAGAACAACCGTTTGATGATTCTGAAGCATGCCAAATCATTGTCCTCGGGATTCCAACGCCACGGATCAACCTGACTGAGACTGAATCGTGCCAGAACGCCATCCCTGGAACTTCAGTGCCGCGAACCAGCGTAACTGTCGCACCCGCGTGGTCCAGAATCTTTCCAACACGCCAGTTCAGGTACGTTTTCCGCGGACCCTTGCAACTATTATCAACGAATGCCCGCGGCGCTAAAGCGAGAGCCGCATTTTGAAAAAAAAAACCGCCCTAAATCCGTGAAGCGCTTGCACATGTTAAACACGAGTGTGCTCGGCGCTAAGGCGAGAGACACATTTTGAAAAAGGAGCCGCCCGTAATCCGTGAATCTCTCGCACATTGTTAAAACGAGTGTGCTCGACGCGAAGGCGAGAGCCACGTTTCGAGAAGGAACCGCCCCCAATTCGTGAAACTTCTGCAACTGTTTGAACCGACTGTGCGCAGCGCTAAAGTGAGAACCACATTTTGAAAATGGGTCGCCCTCAGTCCGTGAAGCTCTTGCGTTTTCAAATAAACGAGCGTACGCGGCACTCAAGCGAGAGCCACATTTTTGAAAACCGCCCGCCCTCCATCTGTGAAGCTGTTGAATTTTAAACGAAGTCTGAACCGAAACGCCCAGCCCGCCCTAAGAACTGGCCTCGGGGTGCGACAGGAAGCAATTATTTATGAGGAAACGGAGCGGAGAAGGAGGAGGAGGAGGAGGAGAAGGAGGAAAAGGAAGAGGAAGGGGGGCCCCGCGCAGGCTCCAGCAGTGCGCATGGCGACTGAGCCCAGCCCCGCGCGCTGTTCACCCCGCGGGTGCACCTCCGCTGACTTCCTGCACTGTGTCGGCGTGGGGCCCTGGCGAGAGCCGCTTTGGGATCAGCGGTTCGCGCGAAGTTAGGCCAGTCTCCCGCGCGGATCGACCCGCGGCACCCGAGCCTCCAGACTGCCTGCCTGGGCTCGACACTCGAGCCGCCAAGCGGCGCAGCGTGGACGGGTCCAGCGTGCCAGAGGGCGCCTGCCGAGGCCTGGGCGGCAGGCCTGGGACCTCAAAGCCGAGCCCGAGCTACCCCGCCCCACGTCCACGACGTTGTGGTCCCACTAGCGGCGCAGCGCATCATTCGCCGAGCCGACATCAAAGGTGCCGCTTCCTCTTGACCCCCATCGCAGCTGCTGCCTGCGCCAACTTGCGCTTGGCCGCTTCCTGCGCCTCTGGGCTGGCTGTGCGGAGCTCCTCGGCCGCGGCCTTGAACTCGGCCGTGCGCTCCTCGAGGACGCCCATGTCGATGTCCTCATCGTCCTCTCCTGCAGGGGTGTCGGCGGGCGCCCTGCCGCCAGCTGCCCCAGCGCCGCCGCGCACGCCGGCGCTGCCGCCGCCAGCCAGCTGGGGGCCCTGCGCCTTCTCAGCCGTGCCCTTGTGGTCGAGGGCTGTCTGCTGGAGCTTCGCCAACACCTTCATGGCGGCCCTGGCCTCAGCGTTCGCGTGCAAACTGGGATCCAACGCGGCAGTCGTGACCTTGACCAAGTCATTGATGTCGACGGCATGCGCGCGTACATACAGGGCCTCTGCAGCTGCAAGGTCCTTCTTGGTGTCCTGGATGGCCGCGAGGAGCTCGGCCTCCTCCTTAAGGAGCTGCTCGCGGCGCTCCTTGATCTTCTGGAGCTGGAGGTCCTGCTTCTCGGACTTCTTCCGTAAGTTCTCGACTCTCCACCTCGCTGTCACGACCGAGGGCGGGTGCTCAGCCTGTTCCCGCTGCTGGCACTGCGTGATCGACTGCAAGACCGCCTCGTCACACTTCTTGTCGTTGAGGAAGACCAGCGCATCTTTGCACGTGAGTGTGCTGGATCCTCCTGCTGACTGTTTCTGCTGCCCCGCTGCGGGGGCCGAGGCGGACTTTTCCTCCTTCTCCAGCAGCATGTGAAGTTTTTCTGCATGGCGGCGATGATCTTCCCCTGGTCCTGTGAAGGGATTGGGCGACCAGACCCTTTGCCGCCACCGATCTTCCCTCCTCCATTCTGGCGCAACTTGGCTGCCTGCTGGGCTGCCTGCTGCACCTTCTGGGGAGCTCCGTTCCCGCAGCCGCGGCATCTGAGGCGACTCGCCCAGTTGTCGGCTGCTCCGCATCTTCTGCGCCCCCAGAAGGGGGGGGAGGTGCGGACCTGGAAGTACATCGGGCCCCATCCATTGCGGGGGGGGGGCAAGCAAGTATGGCTCGCGAACGCGGCGCCTCTCTGAAGTACGTGTCCGCAACTCTCTCAACCACTCGAAAGCAGAGGGGCTCCCAGGAAGGAGGAGGAGGAGGACGAGGAGGAGGAGGACGAGGACGAGGAGGAGGAGGGGAGGAGGATGAGGAGGAGCGAGAGGGGGATGATGATGATGATGATGATGATGATGATGATGATGATGATGATGATGATGATGATGATGATGATGATGATGATGACGAGGAGGAGGAGGAGGAGGAGGAGGAGGAGGAGGAGGAGAAGAAGAAGGATGGAAGAGGGAGGAAGAGGAGCCGGAGGAGGGAAGAGGGAGGGGAGGAGGGAGGTGAAGGGAAGAGGAGGAGGAGGAGGAGCAGGAGGAGGGAAGAGGGGAGGAGGAGCAGGAGGAGGAAGAGGAGGATGAGGAGGAGCAGGAGGGAGGAGGGGGAGAGGGAGGAGGAGGAGGAGGAGGAGGAGGAGGAGGAGGAGGAGGAGGAGGAGGAGGAGGAGGAGGAGGAGGAGGAGGAGGAGGAGGGGAGGAGGAGGAGGAAGGAGGAGAGAGGAGGAGGAGAGGAGGAGGAGGAGGAGGAGGAGGAGGAGGAGGAGGAGGAGGAGGAGGAGGAGGAGGAGGAGGAGGGCGCAGCGGTGGTGGAGCCGATGGGGCGCGTGTAGGGCCGAGGTCCTGGCGGCGCGGCGGCCCGGCGCTGCCGCCAGCCTGCCGGTCCCCGGCCTCGGGAAAGCTGCTCTCGGAGTCCTCGGCCGTCTCGAGGACCCGCAGCTGGCGCACCTGGGGGGACAGCGAGCTACAGTGGAGGCCCGACCACAAGAAACCTTCCACAAAAATCCCAACCCTGAGACCCCAGGACTTCCACCGATTTTAGGCGCGGGAACGCCACGCTTTCTATGGCAAAACCATGGAAACCCAAGAAACCCAGCGCATCCTGGGGGCAAGCAGGGTGTTTCTTGGCATGGGTCCCCACTGTATAGGCAGAGTTGCTTGCAGGGCAGGAAGCCTCGGCGGGGGTTGCTTGAGCCGGAAGCGGTCCCGAGATACCCTTCCTTACCGTTCCCCAATACGCGTGCCCGGAAGCTCTCCAGAAGGTCCTTCGGAAGCTCTCTTCAGGTCCTGCCAGAGATCTTCGGCAGGCCTTCGCACGCCCTTCTGACGCCCTGCTATCCAAGTTTTGGACCCTGCAAGTTGCAAAGGACACGCGACGGGCCACAAGACTCTTCCGCCAGCAAGACGGCCTCCCAGACCACAGGGCACAAGGGCACCCTTGCCCCAGGACTGCAGAGGACATGACGCGCGATGCACACGACACGAGAGAACCCTTGATTCGGCCAGATCGACCTACCAATCAGGGCCGACTGTATAGCAGGGAGCTGGGAGCACACGTGCCTGGATTGACACGTGAGCGGCGAAGAGAGATGGTTTTATCCGCCCAGCAGAGCGACGAGAAAGGGTCGTGCGCGAGATGACACAGCGTCCTTCCGCGGCGGCTTACGCGGGCCGCCAGCGCGGCACGTCACACTGGAAACGAGGGCGCTCGCGCGCGACCTTACGCGGGCAACTTACGTGCCAATGTCAGCGAAGACGACCCGTTTTTTTTGGCGTCGCTCAGTTGATGTTGTGCGCGTGTGCGTGTGTGTGTGTGTGCTGTTTCTTCCTGTCTTCAACCCGGCGGTTTTCGGCCAACCAGAACGGAACACACACAATGACAACCCAAACCAAACAGAACACGGCAATACAAACGGAACCGAACCGACAACTGCGCGAAAGATGGCTCCAGCACGTACAAAAACTGACCCCAAACGGACAAGTACCGTTGATCTTGAGAACGAAGACATCCGTGTTTCTAACATCATATCAACACGCGCCGAGACTCACATAACCGACGAACAGAAACGGGTCTTGCGCAAGATGGCATGGCGACCTTACGCCGCGGCTTGCGCGGGCCGCCAACGCGGCACGCCACACTGGAAACGAGGCCACTGGCGCGCGACCTTACGTGGGCGGGGAGCTTGCACGCGAATGTCGGGCGCAACCGACCCCATTCTCTTCCGTTGCCCATGCGGAGGCCACGTGCTGGATGCGAATGCGGACACCTGGCCTGCACGATCGTAGAAGGGCCGAGCGATGGAAAAACAACCTTGAACGCCTTCGCCGGCGTCGCTGGCGCGCCAACGCCGCGTGAACGTATCGTAATCAGAACAGGAACCTTGGAACCCATCTGTCTCCTGCTCGTCTGACACTGGATCAATATGTGAAGGCTGCAAGGGAGGGCCCGAAACTTGGCGACCCGTGTGGGAAAAATGCGACGCCCAGATCGCAAGGCCCAGATGTGCGATGTTTTTTTTTGTGCTACGCATGCAGCGCGGTGCTGCGCCTGTCTATGTGCTCGCCCCCTGGCGTGAGGCTGGCGGGGGGTTCGAGGGGCGAGCTGTGCGGTTCCTGGGCCCGGCGAGGGCCCCCAGGGAGGGCCAAAGACGGCCAAAAACCGACGGCCAACAACCTCCCGCCGTGCCTTTTTCGCGGCGCGACCCTGCTTGCGAAGGTACACCGTGCTTTTGGTTCCTCGAGCACCCTCCCCGTGGCCGGATTCGTCTGCGTGGCGCCCTCGGGGTTGCTGAAGTCCACGACCTCGGCGTCTGGCTGGACTTCGCCAGCGCACAGCGACCCGATCGCGGTCGCAACGCCGCCCAACCACGAACCAATCACGCGATCGGGCCGAGCCGAGATCCGGTCGTGCCGATCACGCGATCGGTCCCTGAGATCCGGGCGTTGCATTTCCTTCACACCGTGCGTTCCTGCTCTGCTTCGGACCCCGGGACCCTCACGGATCGATCCGGCTTGAAACAGGGCGCTGAACGATGGGGTCTAAGGCTCTGCCCGTGATTTTCGCGAGAAAGATGGGGTCTGGCTCTGGCCGTGATTTTCGCGATCTTGCTATTTTTTCGCAACGTCGGATCTCATTGCGAGTCGATCTGATCAGTGATCGCGCTCGCGATTGGTGGTCGGACGGTCGGCAGAGCTGAGTCCACAGCGTACAGCGTGCCTCGCGCCGCGACGGTGAACTTGCTCTCGCCGGCGGCCAGGTGGTAGCTGATCTGCTTCACTTCCCTCTGGCTGCTGTCCACCCAGTCCCCGTTGATCAGGGCCTGCACCCTGATCTGAGGGTTGTCCGGATTGGACGCGATCCGATCCTGGAGGCCCTCTCCGCTCCTCTTGGAGGAGACGACGCTTGGGCGGGGGCTGGAAGAGCCCGTGCCGCCACCGTCGTCCCCCTCGGGGACCGTCAGGGTGGAGGCACGCTCTACCCCGAGCTTCGCGGCCTCGTCCCCGGACGGAGCCTGCTGCGCCAGGTTGTCCTGCTCCTGCGTGGCCAGGGGGGCAACAAGCGCGCCCTGTAGCCCTGGGCTCAGGTCGGGCATGTCCCCCTGCAGGGGATTTTGGACGAAAGATAAAACATAAAAGTACTCCAACATGGTCGAACATAGTCAAGAAATCGTTCCCAGACTATTTTCTGACAACTTTTGAACAGTTCCCCCCGTAGAGGGACAGGCCCGACTTAACCCTAGGCTCACCAGAACTGGGCTTTTCCATCTAGAAGACATTTTTGAAGCGGCCCTGGGACACACAAATAGATACACACAGATGACAGGATCCCCCATATTTCCCAATATTTTTTGTGGGTTTTCGTCTTCCCCCCCACTTCCCCTATTCTCCCATATTGTCTGGAGAATTGACGATTCATCGTGTCTGTGTGTTTTTTCCCCTCCTGATCTTTCACGGCCCCCCGGGGCCTGGGAAGCCCCCCCCGGAGGCCGACGGCGGCAAGAAGCATGCGAACAGGGCAGCACATCCGCCCCGACATTTTTTTTTCTCGCCCCGACAATGACCACCCCCGCGCGCGAAGCCGTGTAGTAAACGCACCCAAGGAAGGAATCGAACAGGGCAGGACGGTTTGGTTCGGCTGCACGCAAGAACGACCCGGGGTAAGAAGAGTGACCTCTGGTGCGCGGCTTTTTGGTGGCCGCGGGGGGACCAAACCTGGGCGCGCAGGCCGCTGCCCCTGCTTCGTTTTCAGCCACCCGGGGGCCCATCTGTGCCCGCACCAAAGGTCACTCCGGCGAAAGGTCATTCTTATGTCAAGTCGATTAATAAACGCCCAGGGCCGTTTAGTAAACGCCAATTGTCCGGTCCGGGTGGTTTTTCCTCCCTTGAATGTTGGCGACGAAAGCAAGCGGGTCGTACGCGAGAAGACATGCAGCCCACCCGGCATCACAAGGACGCGCGATAAGGATGCAAGGGCGTTGCAAGGCCATGCCGACACGTTGCGAGCGGGGCGCGGCCAGCGAGAGCGGCCAAGGATGGGCCGAAGGGGAAGGACGCAAGGCTTAACCTTTCCCAGACATGCGATGTCCGGATTTTTTTAGGACGGCGTCTCCGAAGTCCAGACCCTTTCTCTGGGGCCGTTTTTTCATCCTGAGCCGTTTTTGGACGGTCTGGGGCCCGGCGAAGACCCCCAGGGGCCGAAAACAAAACTTGCCGTCCTGTTTTTCTGTCACGACGCGATCATAGGGGAACAACAAGTGACGTAAACATAAAAACTCGGAGGTCCGCGCGGATTTCTCGGATCGGCGCTGGACCCCCCTCCCTGGCGTGCGGAGCGCGCCAGGGGCGGCGCCGGAGGCGCCGCCGGGGTGCCCCAGCGCCGATCCGAGAAATCCGCGCGGACCTCCGAGTTTTTATGTTTATGCCACTTTCTGGTCCCCTATGATTGGCGTACCTTTTCCTGTGCAAGCTCTTCGGCACCGCCTGCACCCCGGGCCCCGCCCGCTCCGGCCGCCTGAGGCCCCGCCCTCCTGTGCCCTGTCTCCCTAATTAAAGCTGTGCGTAGCCCGCCTAGCTTTTAGCGGAAGAGTTTCTATGTTTATGTCACTTTCTGTTCCCCTACGATCGCGTCAGGGTTGGAGAGCTGCTCGCCCGAATTCTGCGGGTTGACTGCCGCGGCCTTCCGCCGTGGCTCACGCAGGCCGCCCGAGTGGCACACCGCGCAACCAGCGAGAAGCGGGCACGGAGGCGCGCGATCCCACGCGGGAGGCGAGCCTCGCAGGTCCGACGCTGCGACGAGCTGCAGCATCGCGACCCAGACGTGATCGCGTCGTCCAAAAATCAGGACGGCACATTTTTCGTCACTTCGGGCCCCTGGGGGCCCTCGCCAGGCCCCGGGACCGTCAAAAACCGACTCAGGATGGAAAGCCGGCCCCAGGGAAAGGCTCTGGACTTCCGGGGGCGCCGTCCTGACAAGAATCCGGACGTCGCATGTCTGGGGAGGGATCACGATCAGAGCCCCAGCCAACCCCCATCTTTCTGCTGCACTTTTCCCGAGCCAAATCGATCTGTGAGGGTCCCGGGCCGCGAAGCGGGGTGCGAAACGCCCGGTGTGAGACAAGTGCAGCGCATGGATCTCAGGGACGCGCGACTGTCGGCGCAGTCGACCCTGCTTCCTTCCGTCGCTTTCGTGTGGACCCCAACTCCCAGCCTCCTCCTCCTCTTCCTCCTCCTCCTCCTTCTCCTCCTTCTCCTCCTCTTCCTCCTTCTCCTCCTCCTCCTCCTCCTCCTCCTCCTCCTCCTCTTGGCGGGCCTCTTGGAGCCCTCTTGGGGCTTCTTGGGGGCCTCCTGGGCTGTCTGGAGGGCATCGTGGGCAGTCTTTGCGCCCTCTCCTTCGTGGTGAGAGCTGGTGGCGCTGGGCTGCCCTCCGAAAGCCACGTCTGCAGCGCCGTGGCCGGCGGCATGGAGTCGGAGCCGACCCAGTCCAGGAAACCCGTGCTGACGACGCCGGCCATCGACTTGACGCTGACCATGGGAGGGCCGCCCCCGTCGCCGCTGCCACCATCGTCCTCCTCAGGGCTGGGCCCAAAAGTTGCTTCTTTCGTGCTGTCTTCGTTTTGTTGTTCGCTTCGCTCTCCCTCTTTTCCTTCTACCTCCCTGCCAAAACCTGCCAGAGGGAAAAACATAACACAGCCGAAGTCAAGCAAAACAGCGTTGAGGTCAAGCCCTGGGCCTCCTCGCCCCGGCCAGCGGCGATCGCCCAGGGGGGGATGCCGAGGGGGTGGTCTTCTCGGAAGGCTCGGGAGGCCTCCGGCCTTCTGAGCAGTTGTCTGTGCCTTCTCCGAAGATCGGGGGCGCGCAAACATGGATAAGCGATCCATGGATTTGGCGCGCGAGTACCACATCCATGGATCGGGGGGGGTGCCTTCCCCCAAGTGCGGCAGGTGCCGCCTCGTTCGGCGGCGGCAATCCGCGATTGCCTAGGGGAACGGGGCCCGCCGCTAATCCACGCCCCCTTGATCCGTGCTTGCGATCGCCCGAGAATGCGTGGGCGGCGTCTCGGAAGGCCAGAGAGCTTCTGAGAAGACCCGCCGCCTTCTGAGAAGGCCCGCCCCTCCTCGCTTCCCTCCCAAACGCGCCGCGGAACAGGGGCCGGACTGGCCACCCTCGAGGCCAGGGTGGCCCCAGCACGGCCAGGTGGACGGCTCGAGGATCGACGGCGAGGGTTCCTGGGAGATCCCCGCCCTTTCCGGGGCCTCCTGGGGCGCACGCGTGGCCACGGCCAGATCTGCTGCGAAGTTCTGGCTAGAACACGCCTCCGTGGCAAAACGCACCAAGTCGAGTGCAGGGTCGCCCCTCGGACCTGTCCAGGGGTGCATTCTGATCAGAGTGTCGAGGGGAATCGACGGGGATCCTCTCGGAGGCTCAAACAAATATCCCAAACCACTACAAAAATCGAGCCTCCCAGCTCTCCAGCGCTGTGACTCTTCCACGTAGGCCCCCTGGAAGTCTCAGCCCTCTCCCCAAGGCTGGTTGGTCGCCCCGGCGGGGCTTTTGGTGATGGTGAGGGCCCCCCAAGGAGCCAGGAAACTGCCAGAGACACGGCGCGAGGGGGGGGGAGCCTTCTAGCCCCGATGTCTCAGCCGGCACCCTCGGAATGACCGGCTTGGTGGTTAGTGCGGTGGTGGTTACTGCTGTCTGCTTCCGCAGTTCGAAACTACCCACACAGGCCGATCCGCCAGTTCGAAATCGACATGGTGGCTGTTTGGTCACGACGGCGGTCCACGCAGGACCCCCGTCCTGCTTAACTACCATTGAACATTATGAGATGATGGCCAGGGGCTTTGGCTTCAGATTTTGATGATTCAAACTGCTTCTGCACATTGGCCCAACGTGAGAAACCAAGAGGTACCGACACCGCTGTCTTCTGGACCTCTCCTGGGGTGCGCTCCGACGGGAATCTCGCGGCGAATCCAGCGGTGGCGACGAGGGCCTCCCTGGAGGCCCAACAGTGGGAAGACGAGGCAAGGGCAGCGGTATCAGCACCTTTTCCTCCTCTGACATCCGCGAACGCCCCGACCACCGTTCTGTTGGAGGCCTGGGAATGGGCACCGACACCAACACAAGGGGTTGCCTCCACAGGGGGGAGATGATCCCAGCTCTCGGTGTTGGTGGTAATGTGCCGGTCACCTCGGAGGTCAGAATGTTACCGCCATCACCGAGGTCGGGATCTTTTTCCCTCGATGGAGGCACACCGCCGATATTGGCGCTGGTGTCGACCTCTACAGTCGGGGCGTTGACCTAAGGAACCCTAAGTAAGGAACGAAGCCCCTTTTTCCCAAACATTCAACTTCGATTCCCCATGGAAACCACTCGGAAAACTTCCGGCAAATGGCACAACAATCAAGAAACACCGAGCCCCTCCCCAACGGCTGTAGGCCTGCGATGCTGGAGATTCGAGCCTCCTCGGGCTCGGGGGGGGGGTCGGCCGACCGCGGCCCTGCAGCCGGGGGACCCCCCCCCCCAGCAGTCCCTCGGGGGGGCCAGGCCGCGGGGCGTGCAGCACGGCTGCCCCTTCGCGCGCCCGGGGGGGCCACTCAGGCCGACGCGGCGACGAAGACAGCAACGCCACTGTTCTTGGCTGTTTGAGTGCCGTTGGAGGGCTCGGGGGGGGGGTTGGGAGGATCTGGAGGGGTTTGGAAGGGTTTGGGAGGGTCTGGGAGGGTTTGGGGGGGTTTGGGAGGGTTCGGGAAGGTTTTGGGTGGTTTGGGGTGGTTTCGGGTGGTTTGGAAGGGCTTGGGAGGCAGCGCGAAAAATCACGACAGGAGCATCAGATACAATTTTTCTGCGGCCTTTTCCGAGCTATCGGAAAGAGCCGCGACCGCTCCACCCTGAGATCCGACGTTGCGCACAAAAACGAACACAATAACAACACCAGCAACAGCAACAGCAGCAGCAACAGCAACACCACCACCACCACCACCACCACTTCCACCACTTCCACCACTTCCACCACTTCCACCACCACCACCACAACCAACAACAACAACCACAACCAACAACAACCACAACAACAACCACCAACCACAACCTCAGCCACAACAACACCACCACCAACAACAACAGCAGCAACAACAATTATTTTAAGACTGTTCGTTCTTACCTGCTCGCACGCCATCCAACACGCAAGTCCCAAATCCTCGGCACCTGCCCTATTCGTCTTCGATCGTACCCCCCTTGGGGGTATATCCTCCCTGCCTGCCACGTGTAGTTGGCGCAGCCCTTAAAACATGGGAAGGGAGGACGGATGGAAGAGGGAGGAGGATGGAGCAGGAGAGAGAGAGAGAGAGAGAGAGAGAAAGAGTAGCAGGAGGGAGGCGAGGAGTAGCAAACACGTGGCAAAACCAGACGGGCAGATCGGGCGGGTTGACCCTAACGACCGGGTCGGTAAGGCAGGCCCAGGCGGCCAGGTCGAGCAGGCGGGTTGCCGAAGCGTGAGCATGAATCGCGAGGAAGGCCCGAGCGAAAGCGTGATTCCTAAAGGTTGGAGGCGCGACGCCTGAATACATTGTGAGGAAGTCCACGCGAGAGCGCGAGACCTGCATACAATGTGAAGAAGTCCCGCGCGAGAGCGCGATTTGGGAATACATTGTGAGGAAGTATCCGGCAGGAGCCGTCGTCTATGTTGTTGTTGTTGTTGATGATGTTGTTGTTGTAAGCTGGGGGCCAACAACTCTGATACTCAATACTTCCCCTGCCAAAAAACAGAGTGCGAGCCCTGGGAAGGGCAGTTCACTCGAAAAACGCAGTGTGCCTCGGAGGGGGGGATCATCAAACATCATTCTGTAGAACTGAGAACTCAACAACAACAACAACAACAACAATCATTTAAGACTGGGGACACTCCGTTCTCACCAGTGCCAGGGTTTTCATAGGAGGCGGGCAATACCCCCACTTTGTGGGGGGGCCGGTTCAAGCTCTACCAAATTTCCAAACGACTCTTCGCCACCACCCACACCCAGCTTCCCGCCCTATGACGTTCGGACACTTCACTTCGTGGCATGCGGACGACCGTGGCTACTATTCAGGGCCCCGCGGCCGACGACGACGGCGTGCGCGCGCGAAGAAAAAACGAATGTGTCCAATATGGTATTATTTGACAGGGATGATGGCCCTGACATGCGCGCAACCGTGGTTGCAGAAGTTCGAAGCACGTGAAAAAGTTGCTCGCAAGAGCCCGTTTGACAGAAATGTTGAAAAAATATTGGGTTTCCTCAGAAATCCGCAAGAGCGCGCAAGATGAATTTTTGAAACTTTTTTTTGAAAAACCATTGGGTTTTTCATGTTTTTATGTTAAAATCGCTACGAAAACTAAGGTTTTGGAAGGATTTCATCTTGCGCGCGCGAGTGTGCACTTCGTGTCATTTTTTTCAAAGGATTCTTGAAGTTTGGTTATGTTAGAACAAGAAATTTCATTTTATAGTGTTTTTTGCAAGGGAAAGCGGGCGTCAACAAAACAACCGGATCTGGATGACATCGTTTTACCTGAGACTTCCTCACGAAAATGATGAAAATGTGGCTGCGGCCTAGGCGCGGGGGGGGGGGCGTGCACCAGGGGGCCCAACAATAATTATTCTTTAGAATTAATAATGTTCAACAACAACACTAGCACGTGGGGACACTCCGTTCTCACCAGTGCCAGGGTTTTCATAGGAGGCGGGCAATACCCCCACTTTGTGGGGGGGCCGGTTCAAGCTCTACCAAATTTCCAAACGACTCTTCGCCACCACCCACACCCAGCTTCCCGCCCTATGACGTTCGGACACTTCACTTCGTGGCATGCGGACGACCGTGGCTACTATTCAGGGCCCCGCGGCCGACGACGACGGCGTGCGCGCGCGAAGAAAAAACGAATGTGTCCCGCATGGTATTATTTGACAGGGATGATGGCCCTGGCAGGTGCGCAACCGTTGTCGCAGAAGTTCGAAAAAGTTGCTCGCAAAAGCCCGTTTGACAGAAATGTTTAAAAAGTGTTGGGTTTCCTACGAATCCGCAAGAGCGCGCGGGATGAGATTTTGACATTTTTTTGTTGAAAAACCATTGGTTTTTTGATGTTTTTATGTTAAAATCGTTGCGAACACTAAGGTTTTGGAAGGATTTCGTCTTGCGCGCGCGAATGTCCACTTTACCTTATTTTTTGCAAGGGATTCTTGAAATTTGATTATATTAGAACAAGAAATGTCATTTTCTATGTTTTTTGCAAGGGAAAGCGGATTACAACAAAACAACCGGATCCTGTACACACCCTCTTTTCTGAGGCTTCCTCACGAAAATGATGAAAATGTAGCTGCGGCCTAGGCGGCGCAGGGGGGGCGCGCACCAGGGGGCCCAACAATAATTATTCTTTAGAATAAATAATGTTCAACAACAACAACAACAACAATTACTAGCACGTGGGGACACTCCGTTCTCACCAGTGCCAGGGTTTTCATAGGAGGCGGGCAATACCCCCACTTTGTGGGGGGGCCGGTTC